TTCCCTTGACAATGCCTGTAAACTGGCATTTAATAAATTAAATTAAATTAAAAATTAAATTTTTGTGCATATCTGATGCCTTTTCTGAATTTTACATATATTACAGTTGCTTGTAGCCCATAGGGGCATCAGAATTGCAAACCTTAGTTTCCTTCAAATGAACTGAGCTTAAGCTGAGCGCGCGAAAGTCAGACGGCTCACTGCTTTCATTTTCTCTTCACATAAACGTCAGACAGCATCAACAAAGTCATCCCCATATCACCGCTCAATCAAAGTGGCCATCCAATGTTTACGCGGAATTATTCGTTATTTGTCGTTTGATCCAGCATGGGTCAAAACAGGCAAAACATTGGGCGGGTTGAATAGAATCAGAATAGGGCTGACTTATCCGACGTCGACTGGAGCTCAATCCGGATGTTTGCGGATAATGCGAATGATGTTTAAAGGTCAAGGTCAAGTCGCTGGTTTTAAATTTGAAGAGAAGTGGAGGATATTATTTTTAGTGGTTTTTCTGTGAGATCTAACGATTTTAGTACCTGTTTTTTGTTTGAATTTCCTTAAATACAGGCCTTTTCTCTAAGAACTGCCCGTTGCCATCTCCTTTCGAGTTTTGCTAGTCTATGCCCGTTGTTCACTAATCGCACTTTGCAATTCTCATTTTGTGCATCCGATTTCTCTCTAACTGTTGTAAGTTATTTTTACATCGTTAGCCCCTAGCTGAAATTCAGTTAACTTGTCTGCCAGAAGTTTTCTTAATCACAAATTGCCTCGAGACAATATGAGACCAAAAGTCACTGGTCGACGTAAGCTCTCGGCTCTTGTAAGTAAACATGGCCTAACTAAACGTAAGTCAGAAGCTTTACCTAAATCTAAGTCAGATGATATTACTAGTCAGTCGTCACCCGTTGTAATTGGTCGGCAGCTTAATCTGTCTGCACTTGACCACTGCAATGAATTTATGCTAACGTTTGGCTCTTTGCTGACAATTCTTGGACATTTATTCGACGGGAACATCTCCGATATTCCCTCTGAAGAATGTAGGCGTCTCGACTCACTTGTTCACCTGATCGCCAGTGAATCTAGTGATAGACAGAAACGTTCTTACAACTTCCTGCGAAAAAATGTTCCTCGATCTGCTCGGCCAATTGATGTTGCGATCAATTTCCTGTATTCATGTGGTTTCAACTATAAAATAGCTGATGCCAACCGCTTGTCCTCCCGTAGTACAAATCGACCCATCTTAGTCAAATTGTTTTCATCAATCGAGGTTGACACAATCTTTACTCATCGAGAGCGTATCACTGCGTACCTAGAGAAGGTAAAATTTTTCCTTTGTCATGATCTTACTAATATGGAGCGTAGAATCGGGTCTCTATTCTCACGTAAACCTACTGCTTCTCAGTCTAATGCTCCCCAACTCGGTCATAATACAAGTGGCCGTAAGGACTCAGCTTCTCCTACTCCTGCGACATCTGACTCCCTCCTTCCTCTTTCTCCTACATCTCCATCTCACTCAAGCCACTTGACGCATTTGCCTGCTCCTAAACTTGCAGCAGCAGCAGCAGCCCCATTTGTCGTTTCGTATCCTCCGGATAGTCCCGCTGAGACACATGAAAATCCGTCTACATCAGCTAGACCGATAACTTCTATTGTCCAACTGGGTGCTGTAAGGTCTACAGCTAAGTCACCAGTGGCTTGGCGTCAGAACGGTGAGACTCGACAATTGAATCAGACTCCGACCCAAAAAATAGGTAGTACAGTTCCGTTTAGGGGTACGACGCCTTCTCTTAGATCTAACAAGTCTGTTCAGCCCAGCACGTCTACAAACCCCGCAGCTCCAATTATATCCTCGAATAGTTCTCTGTCTTGCGTACCGATTACTTATCAAAGCCCTACTATATATCCAGCAAATAATTCATACATGAATTGCCCTAAATCATTTATGCCCCAACCTAGTTCAGGCTTCCCACCACTTAAGGCAAATTGCTCTCAGGTACGTCAACCTATCTCCTTTGACTTCCAATCTAGACCTGGTTTCCCACCATTTCATTCTTTTAGTGGCCTACCCTCACCCATTAGCCCCTACTTTCCTTCTAGCCTCCCTCCTCCTCCTCCTCCTCCTCCTCCTCCTCCTCCTCCTCCTCCCCTTCCTCCATTATTTAACTATTAACAAGTCTATCCATGTTCTAACTCCCCTAGCATTCCAATGTTTGAAAAGTATGTGCCCACCTCCTTTAGTTCTCATTCTCAGCCTTCTCTTGCTGTCTCCCCGTACGTCAATAACTCTAAATTAACTGGTACTTATTTACCAAGTGTCATTAATTCGCAGCTTACATATCCGCCTCCAAATTTTTTTTAAATACCGTCGAAAATAGCATTGCCGTTCGAAACACATTAGATATTATATTATTGAATGCCAGGTCTGTTATAAACAAGATGGCCCAAATCAGAGCCATTGCTCTGGAAATGACGCCTGATATTATATGTGTAACAGAATCTTGGACGCATTCTCTAATTCCTGACTCTGCCCTTCTCATAGATGACTTCGATTTTTACCGCCAAGACCGCACGACTAGGCGTGGGGGTGGTTGTCTTCTTTATCTTAAATCCTACCTAAAGCACTCTCCCTATTACTTGGATGTTTCCTCATTCACGGGAAACTTCTGCTTTGCATCTGTTATTCTCTCGCCGCAAAGAAAGGCAATCATTGGCTGTATCTACAATCCCCCAAAATTCTTTAGCCAGTGATGATTCTCAACTCTGTGAAATCTTTAAATTAATTTCGGAAGCTGCTTTCGATGTTAAACTAATCACTGGGGATTTTAACCTTCCTGAAATTGGCTGGGTTTCCAATAGCTACCCACCCAGATTCCAGCCCTTTCAAGATATTGTCAATTTTTCTAATTGGTCCCAACTGGTGCGCTCTCCAACAAGAGATAATCACATTTTAGATCTAATCTTTACCTATGACATTGCTCCTCTTTCTGTTGCTTAAAAAAGGACCTCTTTGACAGTGACCACGTATTAATTCATTGTTGCCTACCGCTTGCCTTTTCAAAAAAGACAAGCGCCGTTCAGACTTTCATGAACTACGACTGCGTAGATAGCGACTTAATAATTAACTATATGAGATCCTTTGATTGGTGTGGCTTCCTCACTTGTAGCGATGTAACCATTCTTCGTGATGTCATGTCCAATGTTTCCAAGGACATTCTAGAGTTTGTGCCGCGTAGATATCTCAAGCCTAATTCTTTAGATTCTCTTGTTCCTCATTTTCTTCAGAACAGACTAAAAAAGTTGAGGCGACAACTGCGTGACCTATCCACTAGTTCCTTATCAGTTCATCTTAGAATCACAGAGATTTTTGAGATGGCCTCAAGGATGCGCCAAGCGCGCGACAGGCAAAGAGAATCAATTGCTCTCAGTGGTTCGAACCCTGGCAAATCCGTCGCTAACATCTTCCGTCATCGGTCCTCCTCTAAGCGTGGTCATGAACTTTCACCCATGCAAAATGATAACAAAGTCTTCCTCACCGATGACACTGACAAGGCGGAGTTGTTGAGTGCTTTCTTTGCAAAACACCTTGCTACCGAGTCCGATCCGGTCCCTTTCTTTCGATCACTTTCAGATAGGAGACTTGGTACAATTGATGTCTCCTCAGATCTCATTAAAAACACATAAGCCGTTTGAAATACTCACACTGCTCAGGAACGGACGGGATTCCGAATTCGATTATTAAACAAGCGTCCGACTTTCCCATATTGCTCAGTCATTTATTCTCGGTTTATATTTCAAAAGGATTCTTTCCTGAAACATGGAAAACGTCAATTATCATTCCCGTTTTCAAGTCAGGATCTCGGTCCGATGTTAATAACTATCGGTGCGTGCACAAAACGCCGTCTCTAGCAAAACTTCTTGAAAGGATTATTTTCAATGAAATTCTTGACTTCTGTCTAGCTAATCGGCTTCTGAGCTCTAGTCAGCATGGGTTTTTACCTGAACGATCCTGCAAAACATGCCACTTGGCTTTTCTTAATGTAATCACTCCTCTTCGTAATGAGCGGCAGTCAGTGGTTGTTATTTACTTTGATCTTAGCAAAGCCTTTGACAAGGTGCCCCATAGACGTCTTTTAGTAAAATTGGAAGCTCTCGGCATCCGGCCGCCTCTACTCGACTTCATCAGGTCCTATCTGTCCAACCGATACCAGAAAGTCATGGTCGGTAATAGCTACTCAAAACCCCACTCGATCACGAGTGGCGTACATCAAGGCACGGTTCTGGGTCCGCTAATCTTCCTTCTGTACATCAATGATATTTCGACTGAACTCGGAAATTCGCAAACTTTTACTTATGCCGATGACCTCAAGTGTGTTTACTCATACTCTAAGGACACCGCAAATGTTTGTGTTGAAAAAATTAATGCCGATTTACTACGCTTAAGCAGATGGGGTTCGACATGGCAGATGGAGTTTTCATCATCCAAGTGTAGTTTCATGTCTTTTGGTCCTACCAAACTTCCTGGTCCCATAATTTTTCAGAATAACCCACTCTCAGAATGCCTCACCATAAAGGACCTAGGTCTAAGTTATACAAATAAACTTGCTTTATCACCTCTTGCAGATAGAATCTCTGCCAAAGCCGCGCAGATATGGGGATTCATATCGCATAATTTTTTCCTTCCGGAAATGAAGCTAAGACTTTATCAAATGTTTGTTCTTCCAGTCCTCGAATATTGCTGTCCTTTCTTCGGTTTAATGAACGCCTGCGACCGTAATAAAATCGAAAATGTTCAGAGGGTTTTCACCCGGAAACTGTTCTCTCAAGCTTCGTCCAGTATTTCTTATACTCAGAGATGTCAGCTGGCGAACATTAAGTTTTTGTGGGTTAGAAGACTCGAAGCTGGCCTTTGCTTCCTTTTTCGCATCAACTCTAGCTCCAGTCTTCCGCACATTGACACTCTCACTCCGAGAGATCGGTCTTATGTCACGCGCAACTCCTGCATGGTGATTCCGCCGCCTCTTTGTACTACATCTAAGCGCTCCCTCTTCTTTGCTTCCAAATATGCCTTCCTTTGGAATATCTTCCGCCTGAAATTAGATTATCGCCTAGGTTACTGATATTCAAGTCGAAATTACGCAACCATCTTACACCGGAAAGCATAAAGGCACTGTTAACGGTCTCATTCCCGAACACTCAGATTCTTGACTTCGAGAAGGGTCCTCCTGGGATTTAGTGGTAGATTAAGTGGTAACTCTTGATTATATCATTAGAAACCCCTGTTTTAATTTGGTTTCTAAATCCATTGCTATCCTTCCCCCCCCATAGCGACAATTTTCGCGGTTTTTGGTATCGGCTCCCGCATTCCGACCTCATGCGGTCTGTCGACACTCACGGCGGATCCGTCAGTCTTCACTGTTTACTAGTAGTTCGGTCGTACCTCCCTTCCTCACTGCTCGGCTGAGCTCGAAGCGTGCTGTGGCCGATCGCATCTCGGTTCCTCTCGTCTAGCCTCTTTGACGCGGCGTATCAATCCGGCCCAGACGATCTCAGTTGTGAATCCCGTATACAATGCCATTTGCAAGCCAGTCCTGTCTGACCCACATGCGTACCCATCAAGGCGGACATTTATTGATACCCTGACGATGACCGACAACATTCCGTTATATACCGCCACCTACAGGCCAGTCCTGCTCGCTTTTTTCTGTTATTATTTTTAAAGAGGGGTTTTTTTCTCCTGTAAAATTAATCCAGTCATTTTTAACTTTTTCCAAAGAGTTTTTTTCACCCCTCAATCATCATGTTTCTCAATGGACTTCTAATTCAGAAACTATGAATTGCGTTTTGTAAAGATTCGGCCTACCTCGTCTAAAACTCGCATGTAAATTTATTTTAACTTGCTTTGATGGGACCCCGACGGGTCTTTAATAAAAATTATCTATCTAAATTTATCTATATGCCCTACCGAAGCAAATCACTAACGAGTATCCTCTGACAGGGGTAAGTTATTCTTATAAACCCAACTTGACCCCTGGTAATAATAAAAACTTAGCAAAGAAATGGACAGAAGACAAATAATAGAAGAGGTCATGCGTCATTAAGCAAGCTGAATATTTTAATAAAGGAAAGACGCAAGGGAACAAAGTGAGAAGCATGATTGCAAAAACGCGATCCCACCCTCCGATCCCAAGTACAAACAATATCCTATTTTTAGAAGATCTGATCTTCATGATGCCCTCACTGAATGCGCTCCATCGACGCTCTTGGCGAAGCCTTCTATGTTCGCCATATACTAGTAATCTGGTCGCATCTCCTTTGCCCTATCCTCGGATGGACTCTGATGAATGTAACAGACCGCATCTGGGTTCTTGTCGCCTCGAGACTGGTTGTCATCGTGCCCTTACAGAATGCGCTCCATCAGCGGTCTTGACAAAGCCTTCTATATTCGCTATATGCTAGTAGTCTGGTCGCATCTTCCCCCATGCTCGAATGGGCTCGGTTGAATGAAACCGACCGCATCTGGGTTCCTATCAGCTCGAGACTGGTTTTCAATTTCGCCACTTATTTTTCTTATTCAAGGCGATACAGGCCAGTACTGACCGACCCGCCTACGTACCATTTTATTAAATTCATTACACAATGCCATATACAGCTGACATTTATTTCGGCCATGTTAATGTCGGACTATATTCCATTCTGTACCGCCACATGCAGGCCAGTCCTCCCTGCATTTTTCTGATGTTATTTTTCTGAGGGGTTTTTTTTCTCCTGTTAAATTACTACAATCATTTTTAAATTTTGCTTTGGAGTTTTTTTTCACCCCTCGTTTTTTCATTTTCATTTTGCTTAACGGACTTCTAATCTCAAATCTATGTATTGCACTTTGTACAGATTTTGCCTACCTAGTCTAAAATTCGCATGTAAATTTATTTTTACTTGCTTTGATGGGACCCCGACGGGTCTTAAATAAAAATAATTGAATTGAATTGAATTGAATCTTACTCGAAGGGAACTGGAGACATTTAAACAATTCAAGATTACTGAAGTAGACGAGACCGCACCCAAGGTTCTCAGACAGTTTGTAACTGAAATTTCTCCAATTCTGTGAGTGTCTTTAAAATTTGACAGGGGAACATTTCCTTTCCATTGAAGTCTGGCACATGTTATTACATTTACAGTTGCAGCAAATATGGTAACCTGATGTCCGTCGTTTGGGTCAGGCCACGCGTTCGAACCACTAACGTAGTTCTCCATACATAATTCCCAGTAATCACTGTCATCCGATCATGTAAGCTTGGCATGTGGCGTGACCGGCTTTTGAAGTACCTTGACGACACAGCCTATGAAACTGTCTGCCATGTTGCATGCGACATAACTGAAATTTATTTGCAATGTATCTATGTAGAACTAGGGTCGGTCAAAGACGGAAGACGAACGCAAGTATTTGAAAAACAAAATCACTAAAATAAGTATGCATACTGCTTTTACTAGGCAATATTTTACACGGTTGTTGGGCATGGAAGGTCCAGTCTCGCAGAACAGACGACAGTCGGAAGAAGCTTCTTGCTGGGCGACACGTCGTTTTACAGCCCGCTCTCAGTTCAGTTCAGTTTAGTTTATTGAGGGAAATAGGTTTAAGCCTTTGAGTACCCTATATGCAACGTAAAAAATGTGTGGTATACAGATAAATGTTCTGGGCTGAAATAATTCGAACACGCCCATAATGGTGGGACAAAATGAGAACGCGTTACAGGGGTGAGCGCTACTTCTCATCGCTCTTGGTCATTTCGAAACATACATATGTCCAGATTCTTCTTAAAACTTTGTATAGATGGTGACATCGCAACATCTGCGGAAAGCTCATTCCATGGTTTGACCATCCGAACCGAGAAGGAGAACTTCCGCACATCCAGCCGTGCCTGCTGAGTGCGCAGTTTTAGCGGGTGACCTCGGAGGTTGGTCGTGTTAGCAAAGTCAAACAAATCCTCCAAGGTCAGACTGCAATCCAACCCCTTAACAATGCGGAAGGCTTGCAAGAGATCCCCGCGAAGTTGCCTGTAACTCCAAAGAAAGAGGTTCAGATTTACTAGGCGGGTTGCATAAGGAAAGGAGCTTTGACCCCTAACCATCTTCGTGGCCCTCCTCTGGACTCTTTCGAGGCAGTTTTGATCCTCAACAGCCCACGGCCTCCAAGCTTGTATGCCGTAATCTAAATGTGGCAGGACGAATGTTCCGAATGTCTTAGAAAAAGCTTCTTCGTCAAAGTCCATAAACGCACGCTTGATGGCGTATAGTACGTACATTTAGCTTTTAGCCAGCATCGAACAGTGGGCGGATAGTTTTTGGGAACTCATCGTCAGCACACCGAGGTCCCATTGGGCTTCGAACTCTTTCAAGGCTGCACCGCCCAGAAAGTAGTCTCTTGTGCTGGCGGATCTGGCTGTGTTGCCTAGGCAAAGTATGCTACATTTGTCAGTGTTGAGCCGCAGGAGCCAACGGTTTGACCACTCCTCTAAAAGATTCTGGTTCATCTGCAGTTTGTCTTCGTCGGAAGGACCCCGAATTACACTCCATATCTTCATGTCATCGGCAGACATTGCCACTTCGCAGTCTAAATCTCTTGCGGCATCGTCCACGTACATAAGGAACGAAATGGGTCCCAGTACTGAACCCTGGGGGACACCACTATCGACCATAGCCGGATCTGATTTGCCCCGAGCGATGCACACAACCTGGTGTCGACCCACAAGGAAGTTTTCGATCCATTTATGGAAGTTGCCACTGATCCCTATTTTTTAAGCTTATGTAAGAGCCTCTGGTGTGGCACAGTGTCGAACGCCCTCTGGAAGTCGATGAAGGTTATGTGGACCGCGTGCCTGTCGTCGAGAGGTCGGTTCCAGCTCTGGAGAGATTGCAGCAAGTTTTTCAAGAAGGATCTTCCTTTCCGGATCCCATGTCGGCAGTTGGATAGCAGGCCGTGAACTTCCAGGAATTGCATCAGTTTTCTCTTTATGATCCTTTCCATAACTTTGCAGAGAATGCATGTCAAGCCTGTGGGCCTGTAATTTGTCGTCGCTGCCCTGTTACCTCCTTTGTGTAGCAGAGTAATATGCGTCAGCTTCCAATCGATAGGAAGTGTTCCAGTGTCAAATGACGTTTGAAAGAGCATCGACAAAGACCCAGAAAGCTCACTGGCAAGTTCTTTGAGAAGCTTGGGTGGAATCTCGTCTGGTCCTGGCGACTTCGATTCGTTCAATGCCTCTACTTCTCTTCGGACAATGCCTTCTGAGAAGAGCATATCACTGACGCTTGAGGTCGGCAGTTCTTCTGTGGAGGGAGGAAGGAACCTTGCCTCGTTTTTGTAGACTGATTGGAGAAACCGTGAAAAAAACGCAAGCTTTATCCCTACTATCTCATTCCCACTTATCGGACCCCGTCAATCGAACAAGGCAAAAAGTATAATTCTTCGTTTTGATTCGTTGGATGAAGTGTTGGGAAAATGTTGGGCAAACTTCACTTACCAATATTTGATTTAATTTATGTTTATCGTGCATTAATATGCTTTACATGTTTGTTAGCAAACTAAATGACAGCAGACTAGACACAATGTTTTTACTCATTTTGTCAATTCGAAATAGGAATTCTCTAGATTAGCTATCGCCATATAAATACCAGCGTCATACATAGTAAGTAGTGCGCGCGCAAACGCATGTAGGAGCTAGATTGTCCACACCTGATCACCTGAAGTAGTTCCTAGTCTGTGAGAATATTGAACGGGGCTGATGAGCACCAGTTTAAATGTGTAATAAGGTTACAATAGAAAATAACGAGTGCTGCATGCACTTGTATAAAATTGGCGGCATTCTGCCGAGTCTGGTAGGTCACCGGTGTGGAGAGCAGCGCTGGGGAATACTGCGGGAGCGAGATGCGAGAATTCTGACTTTGATTTAGAGAGGGCGGGACGATCTGCGAAGAAGATAGCTGCAGGGGTGGTTTCGACGACCGAGGGTGGAAGGAGTCCCAGCATCTTCACTGGCTCCAGATCACATCGTCCACATCCTAGGTTCTCACCTTCATGAGGTCCTTATTCCACTCAAACAACGCTGTCAGTGCTGGGCTGTGTTACACAAATAGCCCAATCCTATCTTTTGTTTAGACATCTCCCATATTCACTAAATCACAAAAACAATGGTGTTCGTCCCCATTAAAATTTATCGGCCGTTTAGGCTCGCTTAGTTTCATATGTGAGTAGAATCATAAGCGTAAGGATAGCGTGACTTCGTTAGCAGTTATTCACGTCATTCATTTCAAATGAAAGTTCAGTCAAGCTAAACATCATTTCACTGCATACGTAGTGCCCTCAACTCTTGTCACACATTTCGAGTACCTTGAACGCCAGCGTAACTGGACGGCCTTGATAATGCCCATTGTTTTAACTTCCTTGAATCGCGATTCCGCTTTTTGCTACTTTTGCGCATAGAGGAGTTAGGGAAGTCATTCTGCGCCTACAACACACTCAAGTAAGGCGTTTTTTTCTCCCTGAAGATTTTCACCGGAGAACGCACTTCAATTATGCATCTAGTAAGGAATTATTCTAGTTAACTGCTGTCTCTTTTCTTTGCAAAATATTTTGTCCTTACTTTATGTATGACATCTTCAAAGCATATATTTGGTCGGCATATAATAAATAGTTTAAAAGCCTTTCTACCTATACCGTTTGCTTAAGCAACGGTCGAGGCGTATGCCTCGAGGCATATCAATGATATTTTGTTTCGCATTTGTTATTGTGGAGTGTCATGAAATTTGGAATTCCAAATTTGGAAGTTCTATTTGCAAGTTGTGCATTTGCCGCTCTAAGCCCGATTTCCAGCACACCTTTTTAACCATGACTTTTTGTTATCTACCGCCTATGACCAATATTTATCGCCTAGTTTTCGCTGGTGCCCACCTGATGTATTAATACATCAATTGGAGGAAAATTGTTTCGAGACAATGTTTTTTTAAGAATTCCCAGCAACTTCCTCACATAAAAATAAAGCCCATCGGCTTCATAGTACCATTTTTCTCCGACTCGGTACTACACGCCATAAGGGAAATTGTATTTATCTGTTTTTTTGCACGCGTACATTCTGGCCTGTCCAAGGTTATGTTACGTAATTCGCCATGTTGCTTATAAAACAGCTTTATATCATGGACTGAACTTATTTTTAAACTTTTCGGTTTCCCTGTCACACGGTTTTCATTTTCAGAATTATCTTGCTTTGCCTAATACTGTAGTATCATTAGTGAATGATTTACAGTTATATTTACTTCGGTGGCTTTAGAAAAAGAACAAGTGAGTTTCATAAGAAAAGATGCTGCTGTTTTGCCTCTGCTGGTTGGCAACTTTGTCAGGCCAGTGAATCAAATAATTTCATTTTCTCTTAATCCTCACAGCTCCTGGCAAATAGGCATAACTTTAATCTGCGTCTTGAATGCGGTGAAATTATTTAATGCTGTTTATTTTTATGAGTAACCACTACATCCCACCTAACATGACTAGACGTAATTTAGTCCCATGGTCTCAAAGGCATTTGGCCGTACGAAGCAGCTGCGAAGCCGTAACGAACTACTATTCTGCTGCAACTTCTTAAATAACACTGCTTTTGAGTTTTCTATCTCATCTAATTCACTTAGAAATCTTAGTGAATGTTGCGATCACCCTCAAGTAACGTATTCCTCATTTAGATTGCCCGGCCTAAGCAGTTATCCTCTGTTTGCCTTCACGTTCTTTTAGGTCAAGTAAGGCTGGTGAGTTTTCTACGTTGCTTTATAATTCCCCGGAAATTTCTTCTAGACAAGGAGGAAAGAAAACGCTGGCAGGTTCGAGACGCATGTTTTAATTTTATATTTCTTGAGTGTTGAACTGTTTAGCGTACCTTGAAATCTCTCGATATTTACACATGCCTTCGTTTGTGGCCAATTTTTCGCAACTAAGCTACATCGAAAATATCTGTTCTCTCCTTCACTTCCTATTCACGCTTAGCAGCTGTACGCAAATTGAATAACTCGATACAAAGCCATATGCCTACAGGGTAAATCAAGCTGTCCGCGGTTTCGTGTACTTTTTGGAAACCAGTTACTTCCAAGTCAAACTGACCTTACAAAATTTTATTGTCTATTACTTGTACTCGGAAATATTAACTCCCACACACACGCACTCCTTAACACGACATCATACAGCTGACATAATACCCCTTGTTTTCTGCAAACCTTTGAGTCGTTATTTGTAATTACTCATCATGCAATCCTTTTTTAAACTTGGTTTAAGCCCAAGAACAAGATGTGTTTCAAGCACCATATGTTGAGACTTATAAGTAAAAATCCCAATTAAAGCCTTTCCCGAAGCTCAACGATGTTAGCCGACCTTGCTGCCCAAGTTCTTCTTCTAGTATCATTAAAAAGAGGCCTCAGTAACAAATTACTTTGGAATGCCAGTTAAAACTATGCCTGTTTTCATCAGGCCCCTATGGAGGATATTTTTCATCACTTAAAGTTAACTTCTTTATTTTTGCAACTGAAAGGGCTTGCGTGTCGTTAACTTTTGCATCCTTGTACGTAGCTAGAGCACTCAATTGTGACTTTAAAATGGTCCATTAGGCTTATTTGGTTGTGCATTTTACCCAGCGTGGATCGCGTTCGGAAGATCGACCTCTGCCTACACCTCCATCAGCACAGCCGTCGGTTCATGCGGACGTAGATGCTGAAAGTGCTGCAGCGTGCGTTTTTAAACGTTTTGTGAAGCCAACTGTCTTAATGCATGTTCTTCACATATTTGCACACTTTTATTTTTGCATTTTTCATTTCCGCCTCCCTTCTTCGCTTTTACAACCCGTACTATGCTCAGACTGAATTGCCACTGTTATGTATCCAGTTCTTCCCTCTTCTACCGTCTTGTGCGTTTATACACGCAGGAGAAGGAGAAAAACCAGTGTGTTCCCGAGCCACCCAGGCATTCTTCTTCCATCCTGTGGACGTTGTATCATTTAGACCCTCTTCCTGTATAGCCAATGTCCATCATTTTTAATGTTCCCTTACTACACGCCATGTGGTTTGCAGCGATGTCTCACGACAGATATGAAACTTAATCTTCGTAGTTGCCACATAGTTTTCTCCTTGTAAAGTAAATAGCGTTGACGTTTTTTCTGCAAATATAACCTTTTCAAATCATGGAATCCAGCTAGTCCCCCTCTCACGCCAAGTTTCAAACTATCATCTTCTGGTGTGTTTTCATCGGTGGCGTGCCTTTTTGATCTAGCACTCCCTAAAGACGTTAATTTAGTCTTTTGACGTCTGATTCATCCGTGGAATCAATACTTTGCGTAATAAACCTCTTTGTAAGTTTTACGGAGGGACCTTATTGCAGCAGTAATAGCAGAAGCAGACAGACCTTATTCCAGCAGGAATAGCAGAATAGCAGTAGCCCAGCACTTTTGCAACTTCATGAATATCGACGGGAAGTCGTGCTGTTGTACTCCATTTGTCAGTTATTTCGTCCCGCCATTTCTTGCAGAAGAACAGCCTGCTTCGTCTTACCCAAAATAGAATCGAATAACAGTAGAACGGGATTTTCTCCTTGTTTTGGGTTCGTTGACTATGCTGGTCCCAAATGCTGTTCCTCGCTTTGTCTTTTGCGTTTTTTGAACGGTACTCTCAATGGTTGAAATTTTGTTATCAGACGTTAATTGCCGCTCTTATGAAAGGAAAGTCAGACCTCAGTTTGTTGCCACTATACAAACCAAGGACGACTAAACCGAAACAAGCAGTCCGTTGTCAACTACCACGTGCAATTATACCTGGTGCCGTTGTATTCATGTCTGTTCTACCTGGCGTCCTTGATGTCGCGAGTTGTGCATCTTTACATATGAAGACCTGCGACAGCGCATATGGAGAGTTCTGCCCATGTTGTGCTCCAGTTACGATGCACAAGTACAAATCTGGGAACTGCCGCAATGTCTGAACGAATCTTGTCGAGCCAAGCTTATACCTGATCTCTTTGACGCCTCCAGGTGGCCATCGACGCCGATCAAAACAAGCAACACTGGGCTCATGTGACGGACGACAAAGAACTACCAAAAAGGTTGTCATTATTAAATGACTTGAAGTATCCTCACGATATTGACGCAGTGACTACGACCTGTCTCTTTTGAGAGGAAGTCGATGTGCTCCACTCGAAGGATGGTCCTTAGACGACGGTGGTCAATCACCTCTGGTCTTTCTTCCTCCACCTCCGGAAAATGGCAGACAAGTCGGCTAGACATGACCAGCAGAAATATTTGGATGAACCAAAGGCCGCAAACGTTGGTAGCATTCACAAACTCTACCAAGTTATCTGTCAAGTTAGTAGTGAGTCCCAAACACTTCGTCACTCCATTCACAACGTAGATATGGCTCTATTGCTGGAAATTCGGTCAAATTCGATCACTGACATGGGCATTTCGAGCACCTTCCATACTTTGATGAGCAACCCATCACACCCTCGATCTCCTCTACAGCGGAGTTTTATCCCTCTCTAGCTTATGCAGTGTTGTACGACCCTCCTTTTTGAGACGGAAGTCCCAGATGCGATACAGAGGTTACACAACCAGAAGACGCCCATAGAGGACGGGATTACTGGCAAAATTATAAATCTTGCAGCAAAGCCCGGGTGCTCTCGGTTCTTGAGATGATTGAGCAAGCATGGGGAGATGAGGTAATTCCTTGTGATTGGGGCTGGGGCATCCTTCTGTCCGTCTTCAAGAAAGGAGATAAGACAAAGTGGGAAAACTACTGCGGTATAAGACTCATTGATGTCGCTGCGAAGGTCTTTACTGTTGTCCTCAGACGATTCCCGTCTGTGCCCGACTTTAGAACGATGATCAACCAAGCCGGATTCCGGGCTGGGCGTGGATGCGCAGACCAGATATTCACACTGAGACGTATTCTAGAGTTCCGTCATGGCTACCAGCAGCTGACGATCGTCTGCTTTGTTGATTTCTGGCTGTGCCCGATTTCGTGTCGTCAGTCCATGTGGTGAATAATGGAACTAGATGGCGTGTCGTCCAAAATCATCGCCATGATCAAGGCCTTATATCGCTAACCATTGCGCGAGTTCTCATCCATGGCGATCTGTCCCACCTGTCCGACATCCGATAGGGTGTTCGAGAAGGTGGCATCCTGACACCCATTCTGTTGAACGACGTCATTGACAGAATTCACGGAAAAGCCCAACATGAGTTTGACGATGTGGAATTAGCACGCGGATGCCAGCTGACTTAGCTAGATTGCACTGACAATATCGCATTTCTAGTCTCATGCTCTGGTGATCTGCAGTCCACGGGACCGGTTCAACCGGCGTTGCCGACGATGTCAACGAGGTCCTCCACTGAAAACGGAAGCAGACACGGTGACACGTCAGGTAATCCACAAACGTTAGAAGGAACACTTTGCTTTCGAGTTGCATCCCTGGCCAAGGGAAGGCAACCCCCGGGATTAGTGACCGCGAATCTGAAGAAGTAGACTATTTAAAATACCTCGAAACAAGACTGCTGCCAAACGGGCGGAGTAAGGACGACATTGTCTCCCGAATCGATGCTGTTCACATGGTCTTCTTAATCCTTAGAAAGTGCCGATGGACCCAACGCAACATCTCTACCGCTATGAAGATCCGCGTGTACCGTGTACACGTCCGGGGGTCCTCCTCCACGGTTGTGAATGCCAGGCCTTGCACGTAGAAGATGATCGAAGACTGGGAGCATTTGACCACCACTGCCTGGGAACCAGCCTTCTACTAAAGTGCACCGACTTTGTCTCAAATGGCGCAGTCCACATTCGCTGCGACAATATCGCGAGGGTATCTTCGGTCATCCAAGGAAGATGACCGAAGTGGTATGGGCGCGTCCTTTGCCGTCCGCCACGGGAGCTCAGTTCTACTGGCCTCGACCCGGCGTTGTTGTCCACCTGGAGACGTCAAAGAGGAGGCCAAATCAAAATTTCGCTCGACGCAGTCCGTTGACATGAAAGTTGTTCGTGGACCTTCGGTACTCGGTCTCCTTTGCTGCTGCAAATCGTCACGCGTGGAGAGGTACAATAAGTGATATCAACGAGACCGACTACATCAGGCAGGATCACAGCCGCACCAAGTACAAGTAAACACCGGTTTTTGTCCGTTTTCCACTCGCACAGCCCAGCACACACAACCATCTAGGTGGACTTACCGATGGATGCCTGGTATATGTTGGTGTTTGTGGTGATGGAGATGTCGCGTCGGACCCAAAGAAACTTTACAGAGATTGTGAGAACCCCGTTGGCGGAATTTATTCGAGGTACGATAAAGGCCTTACGTTATCCTTTCGACAACATCCTCATCACGAGGTAGTTGAGATTCTTCTGAATTAACCATGAAAAACGGCGGTGTTCAAACCCACGACAGCAAGAGCAAATACATCCAACGCTCAAACCGCCTGTGCTACGAGGCCCTGACCGGAGGTCGTTAGTTTAATCACATTTTGGCCAAGTTGTCCGCCGAGCGTTCTGCAGCGTATGGAATCAACAGAGACCACTAAGTACATCACGGTTGGGTCAAATTAACCATTCTAATATACCAAAAAGGCTATTAATTAGTGAGTCTGGTAGTCATTTGGTGGATTCTGTATTGTATATCGATTGCTTGGGTAATCCTGCCTAGGCAGAAGCTTATTGAATAAGAATGAATAAAACCGGAGAACGGTTTGATCCTCCACCTTTAATGGATAAACAGACCGATTTATCGACTATTCACCCCCGGCACCATAGGTTATAGATCAGCATAAATTTCGACCAGCTGGGCTTTTTCGTCAGCATAGTCAAGATCGGTCAGCCGATTGCAAACCCATCTCCGTCAACAGCATGTAGAGGCCTTTCGACTATCCAGCCCGTGACGCAGTCGAACAGAATGGGCGACAGGATACAACCTTGTCGACCTCAAGATGGAATACCGAACGGTTGAGAGGTTTTTAGGTCAAAACTCGCACAGTCGTGGAATGGTTATAGGCCCTGATCATGGGGGGGGGATTTCTGCCAGAAAACAGTATAGTTCAATCATTCATAACAAGGACCCACAGTGGGCGGAGTTGAACGCTGCGACAAAGTTAAACAAACGGACGGCCGTCTGTTACTGGTAGTCATGCCTGAGTTCAAGCATACATTGCATTGTGAATATCTGGGCCACGCACGCAAGTCCACCACGAAGACCGGCTCGGTTGGGTCTCGTCCTTGAATCACGCACAGTGAAATCACCTGAGAATGACAACGGCGGTGACTTCCAGGAACGTCGATGAGGCCTCTGCCGAGGTAATTCTAGCAGTTCGTCTTAAGCTTCTTGAAGATACATAAAAATATGTCCGAGCCCTACGCGTTAGGAACGGCCTTGTCTTCCCCTCCCCCCTCCCCATTGACGAATCACCCTATCAATCCAGAGCGGCAACAGGGCCACCATTCACACTTCAACCTGGACATCATTTTCCGGAGTTGACGGAACGAATCACCGTTCTGGGGCCTAACTCGAGCCATCTGGGCAGACAGCTGTAAGGCAATACCTCTGGTCCTGTCACTACGACGTCGTTTGTAGAATTCAAGAATTTTTTCGACTGCATCGTGTGCTGAGGTCACCACTGATGACCGTATACCGCTACCTTATGTTAGGGTCATAAAGCGAGACTGAATTTCTGTGCTTAGGCCCTCGATCATGCAGGGTTTAAATAACTTTGCTGTATGAAGGTGTCCTGCAAATGTCAGCCTGGGTGCGAATGAAGAGGGTGTTTTCAGCCGTGTGAGCATGGAAACGTGGTCTGACCCATGAGTGTTTCCAGTTTTGGTACTGGCAACAAACTAGCGGCGGAAGCATAAGCTTACTAGAATATGGTCAGTCTGGCTGGCTATGTGGCCATCGTTTGAATACGAGTTCATCAGATGTTCTTAGTGGTGCTGGAGGCGCATGTCGACGGAAACAAGCCGTTCATAAAATGTCAGAGTTCTCAATTGTCTCATCGAAAACCAAGGTCAAAGCGCCTGTTGGACGAGTTGCCGAGTCCACTTCTGTCATTCTAGTCCCCGGAAATAATAGTTGGAGCAGGGTGGGAGCGTTCTTCAACTAACTCCTGCAGCTGCGGGTAGGTCTCATCATCGCGTTCATTGGCGGCTGATTTTGGTACGTACACGGAAACGACAGAGATGTTCGCAAAGTGACTCTTCTATCGTACGTAAGCCAGGCGGTTTTTGGTTCCTCGAAAGCAGTGTGTTGCTTGCTCATTTTCGGAGGGCGATCGTCCAACCGTGTTTACGACAATGGCGATGTCAGCAGCTGTGATAAAGGATGAAGTGAGATCTTGATTTCTCAAGCACTGACAGGCAGCAGGCCTACGCGTTGTACTGATGAAGGCTGCGTGTCGTCGGACTCTGGGTACCAAGGCCCAGGAACGTCCGCACCTCCCGACATCCAATACCAAGAGTCCGTTTCCAGCTGAGTAGCCCAGTCCGCATACTGTTCGTCGGCACTACTGGACCGGGTTTGCGGAGCGCGTTAGCTCCGGCAGACGCCGTAGCATGAGCCTTAATACTGTTGTCGGACATTTTCATGATTTTTTAACCATCTTGAGTACGACAGGCCACCAAAAGCCGCCCGAATTGTTTATTCGCAATCATCTCTAGCTCTTTGACTCAAATCCTAACAACTAGGCAGCGGGGGTGGACAAAGTTCTTTTAGATGACGGTTCACGATCGCCATATCACAGTGCTGCCACCAGGGTTTGGAGCGTTTTATAAGACATTCGGTTTGCCAGGCCTTGACCCTTTGCTCCCCGGTAGCGTTATCTATTCTGATCCGCGACTATTTATTTGTCAGACCCGCAGTTAACCTTCGCCGAAAGCCGTTCCATTATTCGCTACCTCTACGCGCCGGGTAGGCAGCAGATAGTCTAATGGGTTGCTCGGCTTCCTTATTACGTTTCGTATACGGAATGCTTTGTTCTTACATAGCTTTAACGGAGAGCAAATCGGTGATCGGATTGTCAAAACAAAACCAAATGGTCCTAATGTTTGTGAACCATAATCTCCCGTCTACTGACGGTCTGGATCAAACTCACGCTTTCAACTTTGCTATTGAACAATGTTTGAATGATCTGAGAACTAGATCTCCCGATAAGTAGTCAAGCCGCTAGGCTTAGGTTCTTAATTGGTTAGCGAATGTGTCGAGCATCTCGCTGACCAGGCATTACGGAAGCGGTCCAGAGGATGCAGTCAAGCCTTGTGAATAGCGTCCTCTACCACGCTTGGCACAGTTAACCTGAGGAAGCCGAAGTGAAAAGGTTTACCGGGGTTGGCATTTTGTGTTGTTCTTTTCTATGAAATCTTCGGCGGTGGACTTTGATAAATATGGAAGCTGTAAAAGTAGGCTAGTTTCTCTTCTTCGACGTGGTTGATGAAAAGTGCGCGTGGTATATGCATGCCCTCGGGGATCCGTGGGTCAATTTATTTCAAATTGCAGTAGCGTTCCAGCTGACTTTGTACACAACCTTTCAAAACCAATACTTCTCCTTGTTAGATCTTTAGATTGAGGAACTTCTGGCCCTCTTTTGCAGGAGTCTTGTCCTCAGGTGGCTGAAGTCCATGAAAAGATAGTCATTTATGATAGCACAGCCTTCTGTTTTGCCTGTCGGGCGACCTTCTTAGTGTACATTTTTTTGCTGGCTACTGTGACTGCCATGAATTTCCTCACATTTTTTGCCAGTTGACAGACGATTTTGGAGTTATTCACATGCCGTCAATGTGCTTGTTTTTTGTTCGGACGAATTGGCATATCCGGTTATAAGTATCTGCTGTTTGCTCCTTGCCATTTGTCGAGTTGTTCTACGCATAAGCCACTCATTGTTACTTTTTAGGGAACACCCTTTTTCCGAATATTCCGCTACTCCAGGCGAACCTTCCGTTCCTAGCCCTCAGCCCGCGGTATGAGTGAACTGCTAATTTTAAATCGTATTTCCTACTTTCTTGTCGATCTAATCAGCTTAGTGCACCTTCAGCGGTCTTTACTAAGCTAAAGGTCCTAAGAATTTCTCGTACTATTTATTCCCTTCCATCGATGGACCGACCCCTACAAGTTTTCTGTCGCCATTAGGGTTCCAGATCAAGTTCTTCTATTAATTGCTCACAGACCACAACTTCACCTCAGGTTTACTTTGTGGAAAGATTCGTCTTTATTAGGTAAGAAAGCCTAACAAACAACTGTTTATTTTCACCATGTGTTCGCAAAGGACAGCGCGCTAACTGTTCTGCCAACGGAGATAATTATTTGTACGCAAATGCAGTCGATCTCGCTGACACAACTGAACACAGCATAACTCTCGAAGAAGTCATTTCGTCATTGGATCGTATTCTCCCTCACACGTAAACTGCGCCAACCAGCTTCACATCCTAAATGGCAACTACCGGGGAATCAACAAGAGCTGGGTTTGTAACTGTTCCAGCCGACAAAGAATAAACAACTGTGGTTTTGGATAAGTCGCGAACGACGTTGTCTGCTGTGTGCCTCACTGTGTGGTGGGCACAGAACAATGAATTGCGCTTGAACTTGTTTAGTGGTAGTAGACCTGCGATGTATCTGCCACACTTTTCTCCCTCGAGACGGATTCAGAACGACCGAAGGCGGACTCAGTTGCAGTCGACCTCACCTTCATTTTAGACCTGTCGTACATGTTTCACGACATGTTTGACACTACTCACACGAACGAGTTTATGTTGCAAAAAAAACGAACGGTATAAAATGACAGCTGCAAAAATATAACTCAATAAAGCATGAAATCGCTCATTGTTGCATTCTTCAAAGCCTTTATAAGACTGTATCGACGATTTACACGTCAGTCTTGGTGCCACCTAGCCTGAAGAGAACATTGTGGGGTCCCTTATGACCTGGCAGTAGGAAAGATTTTATAATCTTTTACATTAAAACTTAACATAAACAGAAGATGGTAGCCGAATTCCTCTCCTTTCTTAACTGGCGACCACTGGCTGCGATCGACGCGACGTCCTTTCGCACTTGCATCCAATACTAAAAATGATGCAATGGTGTCGACAAAGACTACGTAGAGGTAGTTTCATTCGGACTTCCAGTCGCCAATATGCTTTATTTTTTCCTGCAAAAAAACATTGTTTAGGTGCATTCTACGTCTCGTACTTCCTTCCTATGGTTATACTTTCACAATTGGTAGGCCTCATTGCATTTTAAAGGAACACGTAATTTAAAAGCACGCTTGTGACAAAACTTACACTTTTCAGATTTTTCCAAAAGAGACCTTATCATGTGTTGTTCGAAAACATAAGCCTGTTCAGGTTGCGACGCTATTTTTATGGTCACATAATTTCTTCTTTTTATTTACCTGAAAGTCACAGCCCAAGCTCTGAGCCAACTCTGATAATTGTCGCATAATTTCAGTCTGCATAATCAGTTTAGGAATTAAACACCTGTCATTTGACTGACATTTTAACGGGAGTTATTGGGCGCAGTGCCCGGTTCCCGAGGTCTCCTCGCTTTCCTGTACATTTGTCACATAAATAGATTTTCAAAGATGAATTATCCTCATAGGTAGGGCGCGTATATGTGCACTACCTCTAAACTATTTTCCCACAAAGGGCCTTTTTGGGACTTTAGAACAAGTATGCAGCGTAAATACGATTTTACCTTTCTATATATTTAACAAAACTGGGCTTCCTTTCTTAAAAGGCCCCTATTACTACCATGCGCGTGTTACAGGTAACCTTTCACAATGGTTCAGGGGTACACATACCAGTTTCCGATCTCATTATTGGAATGTAACACGTCCCGACAAAGCAAGTTGCCATTTAGGGATTATGAGAACTTGCATTGCCTCTATTCGTCCCTTTCTATCCAGTCTTGGCGATCGCGATATACGTGGATAAGTGAATTTGCATCACACGGTCCAACCACAGTAGTTATCTCTGTTAGACTTGAAAGTTTAGAATTTCGTGTGCGTTTTCAGGTCTGCATGCGCAGCAGTCTGGTGCAGTGAGGTTATCGATTCCGTTGTCGTGTGTCTGCCCTATCTAGATACCGCCAACGCAAGGTCGCTCTTACGAAGCAAATTGCACCCAGCGACTCCACATTTCTTTCACTTGCCATAAATGTCTGGCAGAAGTTTCAATGCCACACTTTTTAAAGTACTTAGCACGCCTCCCTTTACAATTTTACGAAGGATGAATAAAAAGCGCTACACTGACGGGTCTGCTGACTAGCCGAATTTAACCCATGGTCCTTCCACACTACCACCCCATGTTTCTTTAAATAGTCGAAGTGGCATGACGTGCGTTAAAAGGCTTTGCTTGACAATCGAGTCTGCACCTGAGCGGCGCCGATTATGATGAAATGCCTCCCTGTTAGGCTTATTCCCTGGTTGGTGAGTGGATCAAATCGTCCTCGTTGGCAAATATTTTACGGTGTGCTGTGGCAGAATAGATGTTGAGGGGGTAAGCGTATCTCATCACGGCTTGCTTTTCGAAGAGAAATTTTAGTATTCATCGTTGTCAGATCAAGTGGACATACGTGAATGTATTTACTACGCAAACCTCATCAGAAATGAACAGTTCATTTGTATGTGCTGTGTTTGAAATTAGTTCTTTTGCTTTTTTGTCCTCTCCAGTTGGATCCTTATTTAAAAACAGTGTCCAAACTCGACATATCGACGCATTTTATGTGCCACCACTTGCCAGAACTAAATGAGGTCATCCGCCTACTATTAGTCCTCTGATCCGCTATGCGATAGTTTGGCCTTCATAACCTACGTGTGCACTGGGTGTCCCACTGCATGGTGGGCTCATGGACGATGACTTGAGTGTGAATTAGTTGGTATTGGTTGTAGACTTGCGCCGCTTCTACCGCACTATCTCTTATTTCACCCATCCGAGCCCACTGTCAGGACAGAGTCGAGAAGACCAACGGCGGGATCGAGCGTATTGACTGAAAAGGCTAAGTAGCTCGTCCGCTCGTGTCATACACGCCTGGTCCGCACTCAGTGGACCAGAATTTCGCCTAAGCAAAGTGACGATTCCGATCTAAACTGAGTGGGGGTGCCATGAAAAGCCGCATTGAGAGAGAACCATTGCAGCCTGACACTCAGTCCTGGGAAGGATCGAGTTATCTCGTCGGTTGGCATCCTTCCAAACCACGACTTTTTAGCCCACTGTGGCAGTTGAAAAACGCGTCCGATTGTTCATAGTGAGGAATATGCGCTGGGTGCCGGCAGGATGCAGTCTCCAGAGTCGACTTCACTCTCCCCTACCCCTCTCAGTCATCACTTCACTGCCAAAGCCGCTAAGTCATCTAGTACGGAGATGGGACGCAATGCCTGACAGAGCTAGGCAGCTCGTCTGCGCGAGCCACACACGCGGCTTGTCCTCTCGCACAGCTCACCAGGACTCCACACAAAGGGGGTGGGTAACTCGGACTTCACATGCGTGAAAATGCCGTAGAGGTATGGTTTAGGAGGAGCTATTGAGGTCGACTCTTAGTCCACCTTTCGACCACCCCACACAAACACACTGAGTTAACTGCCAGGCCTCAGTTGTACCGTCAGTTGAATGTAGTAGCTTGGACGCCTTTTCTGCAAGGCGCGTTGTTAAATCTAGTAGCGGTCATGTTTCACTTCCCTCTATAAGTTATCTTATATACCGTCGAAGTTTATTTATTGTATTTATTTGCTGTGTTATCAACTGCTTTTTGAACCGTCCCTTGCATACTTCTGTTGACTTTCAACCAATTCTCATTTCTGTCTTTCTCTCAAGGGATGCAATTATGTGCCTCTCGAGTAAGTTAACCTTTAAAGAGGTCGTTTGCCTTGTTGACCTGCTTAAATAACCGCGTTTTGCCGACCGTCGTTCTGCCTTTTCAGATGACATTGTATAGGTTCGTTTTCAAAGCCGTTCAAGAAGGTCATTGTACTTAAACTCATTTAAAATTAGGATCCGAAAAAAGATGTTGAAAATAACTTTTCAGGAAGTGCCGTCTACTTGCCACTGTTTTGCAGAATTAACGTTTATTGTCAACTGACTGCACTCTTTTGTATGCCGACGTTTGAAACTGAAAGTCAGCCGACTGGAAAGCTTAAATGTGTATTTAAATAATTTCTTCCATATGCATACTTTCTGACCTGCATTATCTCTTTTCTGAGAAGTCGGTTTCAAGAATCGACCACAACTGTAAGATGAATTCTGTAGTTTAGTGAACTTCGGCACAGAGAGAGACAGGCCTTGTTTTGGAAGTATCGTTCCGAAATTCCCAGCAAATAAAGCTTCCATTCACATTGGATAAAATGGGTAAGCAAAACAGATAACACCAGAAGATCAAAAGCGATAACAGCCGACATCTTCGAGAATCGCCGGTGAATGAGTTGCAAAACTCGTGTCAGATGTGATTTCTCTCAAAACGGTGCTAACGTAATGTGCACATGACCTCCTTATTGTATTTTAGACAAACAAACAGGGGAAAAATCAGTATACAATGAGTAAAATAGGTCAATGGGTGTACATTTAACAAAAGTCCCATGTGAATGGGGAGTAGACAAATGGCGACTCAATTCCAAAAACCCAACACTTATTGAAGAAAGGGTGGAACCAGTGAAGTTTTGATATAAAATGCGCCTTATTCGTTATTATTAAGTTTGGGGCTTTTATCCGCCGTAAGTCGAAACTCGCCTTCACCTGAATTTGCTTCAGGTAATAGATTTGCAACGCAGACTGGCACGATTTCCTAAATAATCAATGTATAATTTATCAAATTACTACCAGACTCACTTAGTGGATAGGTGTCGTGGGTTCTAATCCCATTGAGGCTGCCGATTTTTCCACAGTTGGGTCAAACGGACAGGAATTTACTCACATATTCCCGAATAAATGGCACCTATCCCCTCTTTAGGTTCCTAGGGCGATTTCAGCAGCATAGAATGCTTTAATGTTGCTATTTACACAGTGCCTTAGTGATGGGATTCTGCCTACCGCGAGACATTTTCCCACACTTTCGAAATATTATTTAATAGGCTTAACTCATTTCTCTGATGTTATGTCGCGAGTAAATCATTGACCACCGTTCTTCTTCAGTCTTTTCCAGCTGCTGGAATCAGTTAGTCACCCGCCCCTAATGAAGCCTTTCACTACTAATTGGTCCATTTTGACATTTTTTAAAGCACTGCTTTCGGCGGTGACTATGGAGTTGCAAATGAGGGTGGTCGTGAAGGCAATGTGAGTTTTTTTCTATCTCCTATCCACAGTCGAGCTTCATTTATTGTGCGTATGTTTATGTTCTTGTTGATGTCCAGTAATCTATATTCTGCGTGACGTTAGTCGATAACATGGCAAACTTTTTTGCCGGACTCAAGCGCTTCGTAACCCAACTGACAAACATTTCCATTACCAGTTATATGGAATAATGTAAGATCGTTGTCTGTTGTGGGCAAGAGCACACTCGGCCCGTATTAAGCAGTCCTAGATTTTGGCGGTTCACGGTGATAGAGAGATTAAAAAGCAGCTTTCCTACCTTTCCTATCGACTGCTTTCTCTCCTTTCTAGCTGTATGAAGAATCACCACCACCGCTGCCCATAAGGAAATCGTTCGGGATCTCCCAACCCCGTACCACTAAATGCCCAGGTACGCAGCCTACGAAGCCAACACCCATTTCGCCATCTCTGTCGAGAGTGGAACTGCAGCAGCCTGAATTACAGTCGCCAGAACGATTAAAGCATCAATCCGACTCAGCAACTCGACCGATGTCAACTCTACTTTCCCCATCTGCAGGTCTTCCCAAGACATTCGTTGCCGAACTACGGATGAAGCTGGTGTGTCTCAGTTCAGATTTCGAATGAGAAGTTGGTTTTCTGTTGAAATAAGGCTAACTGCCACATTCTTTTGAAATTTTAGCCCCCAAGAGTCGACAAGTAAGTATTTTGTTTTATGCCCAGATAACACTGCTGTCGGAAGTATCACCAACAGGTTTATCGGGAGGCTGAACGTAAAATGTATGGCTCTTCGCCCATCAGAAGTACCCCGATCCCGACCTAATAGGCCAAAGTGCTTTGAACCAGGATTCCGTTGACCAATGAGACGAGCTCTACCAGTTCGATCGCGAGCTCATGTCCCGTTCGCTGCTGTCGGAAATTTCCATCAGCACGGAAGTAACGTTCCCCCACCTATCCTTATTGTGTTCCAGAATTTGATCATACTGTTTGGCCTTGGAGGTCCGGCATACAGTCCGCGCTTAACACGATCGATGAGTTAGAACTGATCATCTTATTTCCACATCGAGTATTGACTACTCAGCAATATGAGGACTGAAGACTGGAACTGTAGGGAAGAACGGAATCACCTGTGTGCTTTTAAGTATTTCCAGTATCAACTGATAGAACTTGGGACCGTGGCTCAAGTGTTTGGCGGTTTCATTCAAATGCCTGATGAGTAACCACCCTGTCATATGTTTCCAGCCCAGACTTAGGGTATAGCTGGTTGTTGATAGCAATGTCCGGTTGTCACTGTCGGTAGCAGTTTGCAATTATTACTTGCTTCTTGTTGTTTTACCTGGTAGGGCTCCAGTCTGGGTCTCCAAGACAAGATGAAATGTCCGTTTTTTATCTTACATTCAGAAAAGATCGATAAGTGTCACATTTCTAACACTTCAGTATTTTGGAAAGTATTCAAATGGTCCCCTTTGGTCCTGCTAGGCTCCATATACAAGCATACAGTAGAGACCGATGCATAATTACAAAAACGATGTACACCGAAGGTAAATACTTACCAAACTGATGCGCATAGCACATAGTCTCAGTTGTAGAATTCCAGACCCATGCGCTCCCTTAATAGTCATATTTTTAAAAGCTTCCTTATTAGTGTATTTTTGACTCCAGCATCTAAGTCCATCTGCTCCGATGGAAACAAGGCGCTAAAGAATTCCTAAGCTATTTGTAGAAAGTGTTGTCTCTTTGTGGAGTAATATTTAAGAGCAGGCAATGTTTATTTACTACCAAATTTTATTCAAAATATTTCTATAAACACAAACTATGTTAGATAATGCATAGACTTCAAGAACGCCCTTGTGTGCTTATCAGAATACGCCTACAGTGCTCTTAAAAGTGAAAGACCGCACCTACAAGCTCTTGAGCCACAATTCTTGATTTAAGCTGCTTAACTTTTGCATCCTTGTTGAATAGTAGAAATTGTGCTCTACAGCCCTTGAATGTCAACGGCCTAGTGTACGCGTGATGGGAATTCCTAGGTTTGTTGTCCTGACTGAAACTGGTCTCTAGGAAGGCTACCCCGCACAGACAAACGTTACGGTAGATGAAGGAATTTCGAGCACCATTTCTTTGGTGGTGGTGGTGGTGGTGGTGGTGGTGGTGGTGGTGGTGGTGGTGGTGGTGGTGGTGGTGGTGTTGCAATACGACACGACACATTCATCGTCGCAAGCGACGATGTCCATCACTGCCTCACGAACTGGACCCATCGACGGTTATTTGTACGTGAATTTATGCATGGCGATTCGGACTTTCACCGCATCTACCTCACCTTTCACACCCACTGTGCTCCGGTGGGAAGACAAGATTGGATCAATCGCAGGTGGGCGTGGACGCATTGGCTCGTCCAGGCGCGTCGCACACGACCCCGTCCCCAGACCCACATGAAACAGCCTTTGTTCAAGGGGGTCCACGCATCTGGCTCGCGTAGGTGATAATTCTCCAAGGCTGCATTGAGAGTCACTGCAGTTGGTAACCCAGCAAGCCAAAAATTTTAACGTGTCCCGATAGATTCAAGTTTTTCATCTTTATTCTACCGGAGCATGTGCTGATTTGTCGTAAGGATGGGTTCCTGATGCCGGCCTCGTTCTCTCGCCTCTTACGTGGGCCTATGACTCGTCGGAGTTAATGAAATCTAATGGGATACTTAACTTGTGCAATAGCAAAGCGACATTCCTGCTGAGTTATAAGAGTCCTCGGCAGTGTGATAACTTAGCTCCGCGGGGTGATCGAGCAAAGGCGGGAAATGGCCTGGGCTCGCCCATTGTTTCGTCCTCACAGAGGGAAATTAAACTCCTCGAAAATGCCGTAAAGATCTTTCCCAGGTGGCCTCCGTGGATGTGGCTCAAGGATTAGATTGAACCATACGGACGATTGGCTTGAAAGTATTATGACGCGGCCTGGTATTCAAGAGATCCCACGAATCGTATGCGCACTTAACTGTTGTCCCCAACACCAACACAGTAAAGAGAGGAAACGCAGTCGGCCGTGAGAAAATGTACTAATAACCTGGAGGTTCTTGCCACTGAAACGCTGGGTGTATTTATAGCATCCCGTTCAGGTTGGCTAATATTCCGTCCAATGCGCTTCCAGAGAAAGTTCTGTAAGAGTCGAGCGGCTCCTCACAGACATGGACTAATCAGATCTGACGTGAGCACTGTGGCCACAACCAATGCGGGACGCTGTCAAGCGCTCGTTCATGGCATGCAACGTGGGAGACGCGTGCACGCGCTTTTCTGTGAAATTGACTCCTCGTGGGAATGCAGACATTCCCAACAGAAAGACTAGTGAGGCATGGAGGCATCTAGCCACCACTGCCTGTAGCGCCAAACCGCCAGGGAAGACAACTGTAATTATGATGCGTTCTTCCCCCTCCCATGAATCCGATGTCGTTGTCCAAGTGCAGCTGATAAAGTATTCAACTCGAAAGTCGCTTTTATATAATCTGTCAAGCCATGAAGGCGGTTCTTGAACTTCTGAAGCAAGGGCAGGAAATGTTTTGAGTACCGCTGTGGTGCTATCCGTGACATCGTCAATGCCTGTTCTGTTGGACAGCCGTACCAAATACTAAATAGTAAAATCACTACCGGAATTATACTAACCTCACTTTTGGTAGCACCAAGTCCGTCTGCTTGGTCAGCACTGTTCCTGCAATCATTATTGCAACCCAAGTCATCTAAAAACTCCAGCTGTGACCGCCACAACTCCTTTCCATCTTTTTAGTGATGTCTCTGAACGGGTTGAGCCCTCAACTAAGTCATTTTGTGAAGAACCTCCTGTTTGCCCGCCAATTACAACACGTCAGGTAGGTTTATTTTTGGCCTTGCAGTTCTTCCGCCTCTCCTTTCATTTGTCTGGCTTTGAACGTTCGTTGAAAATTGGCCTTTTCGCAGATTTTCCACACTTACGTAAATCATCGTTTTCTCACAAGAAACTTTAGCAGTGCGAAGTCGACGAGACATACAGAACCAAATGAATTCCATGAATCTCGTAACCTTAATCAGGCCTGACGGGTTTTTGATGTAACCACAGCTCTCAACTATCCCCTCTCGCATCAGCGCACTTCCCCCCCCTCCCACGCCTTTTGCGGACAACGTTTCCTGTTGCTTATACATCCATCCCACTTGATTGTGATATAATGCTTCCTTGATTAACAGCTTGTTTAATAAGTGCGCAGTAACCATCTGCAGTTATGCAAGAGCACACGATACCTTCGGTGTCATTGAATTATGTCTGTTTCGTCACCTTCGCCCTGTCAAAATCTTTTAGAGTCATAACAGTTTTTGATTTAATGATAGAAGGGCGCTCACCAATCGCGCTACGGAACTCACTCGTCCCATATTTCCTTGGAGCTCTCGAGCTCCGCCAGCAGCCGCTCAGCGGCGTGTAATATAAGCAGGATGACTTTACTGGTAAAAACAAGGGAGACTGGAATGGCCATTTCTGGCTTATTAGTCGTCTTCAGCTAGTCATACCCAACTCCGAAGTGCGCAACACCAGAGGTTCGATTTCACGACCTGTTGGTTAGAAGTCCAACATCCCTATCCACTGAGCCACGGGCTCGTCCTGTATGCAATGATAGAGGGGACTCTCACCCACTACCCTTGTATATACCTGATCGCAAGTCTTCAGTTATTGGGTGCTTGAACATAATCGATACCGAGTAAAGACCAGTACCATAGTCGCAAATACCTTTTTGGAGAGAGAATGAAACTGGTCCGCCTCTGTTTCCTATGGGTATCCGCTGTACGGGCTGCACGCAGGCAAATAAGTTTTCATGAACGAACCCCCCGTGAGTCGACCCCTAATTATGCTGTACATTGTGTGCAAATAGGAAGTTTATGTGCTTATTACTTTAATTTCAATCACAGCTTCAAGTTTCCTCCGGTTTATCGTATTCCTATCTGAAATAGTTATTTCCGGGATCATAAACCAGAGGTCTCAACAACTCTGAAGGCGTGGGCAAAACTGCGATAGTTGATCTTTACAGTGGTTTTTATGTATACTTGTCCTTAGTAGTCCTGTCCGATCTGCACATCTGCAATACAATAGTTCGACCATCGCAGATGACGACGTTTACCCTCCGCCCTACAGTGGGCGCAGGAGGATTACTTGTGCGCGAGTTAGTTTATAGTTAGACAAGCTTGCGCAACATTTGTCTCACTCACTCATCCCTCACTCAGCTGCCTCAGATAGCAAGACACTGCCGAAACGACCGGAGGTGGTCTCGAACGCAGTGACCGACAAAGCTTGACTGCCCATCTGCGTATGCCACACGCAATTTAGCCGCCGCAGCATGAATCAGTCTTTTTGTGGGGACGAACGAACCTTACGTCAGTGAGAGTGGCATAAGGGACCATGTTAACGAGGAGCCATTGCAGTCTGGCGCTCAGCCCTAAGAAAGACCTAGTTATCTCATAATGTGGCAACCTTAGTGCGTTGTGATAGATTTAGGCCTATGTTGATGAGAATTGCACTGTGCCGTGGGAACGGATTCCTTAGTGTCGACCTGAGTCTTCCGTCTCCCATGCGCCAGTCAACTGTCCGAGTCTGTCGACCAGGTGGTACTGGGATTGGCCGCTGTGGCTAACGCAGCGTGAATGTCTACGCCTCGGTGTGCCAACACACTTCCACCATGTGTAGGACAGTAATTGTCGGTTCGCGCGGACTTTGTTCGACGCGTGTTGAACGCGTGTCGTGAGCCTAACCGACCGACGTTTCGGTCCATCGCATCTACTGCGCGGACGGTTGTGTGGCATTATCTACGGTACTATGCGAATTCATTTAGCATTCTGTCCAACGATCCGCGACATGTGCAGTGTGCTGTAGGGTGTGGAATTGAAGACCAGATAGAAGAGTTGCTTGGCTTTGTAAGTTACCGCGTCCACGCCCACTACCGGTCGTCTTGACCGTCTCTCGTCATTGTAACATGTTAAGTTTAGGGAGAGTTACAGTAGTTGGGTTAACTCATGAAATTTCGATCGAAATTCCGAAATGCCTTTCCGTTTTGAGAAGATTAAGTAGGGTTGTAAAACCAATCAGTCCGAAGTATAATTCTATAATAATTCAGTTGCGTCAGGATGCGGGTTTTCGAAAGAACTTCCTTCCGGCTGTATGCAAAAACTATACTCTGTAAAAAATGATTACTTATGTAGCATGAATTTTCCTCTTCAATTTTCGATGCCCCTAAAAGTCCAATTATAGTTCATGGAAAACATGCATAAAGCTATTCATTCTTTTGCTCATTCGGTAGAAAATTACATATTCTTTCAATTTTATGCTCGAAGGTGGGACACAATTCGGTTCTAAACTTTTAATACCGTGAAATGGCCGTTCATAAAACGCCCTGTCACTGCATTTACCAGTATGGCTTGTAAAGTTAACCATATGGATCAAATCCACTGCTAAATTATATGAACCCTATATGGTCTCCCCTCAGTACCGTAGATAAATATGTGGTTCTCCGTACGCGGAAAATACATGGCTTGTATTTTGGAAACCGTGAATGCAAGCGTGACGGCAGAGCGGGTCCAAAAATATTCGGAATTGGAAAACTCTTTGAAAACTGAATAATACCCTTCCTTCGAGTATGAAATTGGAAGAAGACGTAATTTACTACCGAATGAGCGGAAAATGAATATTTTTATACATGCTTTCCATAAAATATAATTGGACCTTTAAGAGAAAAATTCATACTACTGAAGCAGTCATTTTTTACAGAGTATAGTTTTTGCATACAGCCGGAAGGAAGTTCTTTCGAAAGTCAGCATCCTGACGTAACTGAATTATTATAGACTTATATTGCGGACTGATTAGTTTTGCAACCCTACTTACTTAATCTTCTCAAAACGAAAACGCTTTTCAGAATTTCGATTGAAATTCCATGAGTTAGCTCACCTACTGTAAGTGAGATGGATACGTTGCACGTCACGCGGTCCACCACTGCGCTAACCTCATCGAGCAGGGGTGGATGGCGTCACCTGCGACTGACTTGGCATCTGCGGTGTCGAGACATTCCCTGTGCCCAAATTACTTAATTACTGCTCCTACGATCGATTAGGCCAGAAGGTTAGTTTGGAGTTTACCGTGACTAAGATTTTCAATTTAATCAGTTTCCATTCCTACATCGTGCTCTACAACTCCATTTTACACTCTTAGAATGCTTTTCCACGTACGCCATCCAAGTGCCCACTCAAAGGAATTGCGAGGTATTTGGACCTGGGAAGAAGAATAATTTCTCCAGACCAGAGTCTGTGTTAACTAGACCAACTTTTGGGCACTCTTGGTGGCTGCTTGCCATATCGATTTTTTGTACAAGTTGCACTTCACTCCAATGCCATTGCTGGCTGTACGAACGTACATGTGCATGCATTATCTTTCGTCAGAAATCTTTCTTTGGTTGAGTCCACAGTCATAAAAACCGAATTGCGCAGTATGCCACATTGCCACTTTACGGACTTGTATTTTAGCGGAGATTGAATTTCTTTAGTCTGCAAATTTTTCCCCCTAATGTCGACCTGTAGTTTTGTACACCTGCCTGTTCGCGGGATGGATACATTCTGTACGAAGTTCGCGCCCTACCCATAGAACTTGGGTATTTTGACGGAAATTTCATTCCCTATTTTCTGGACAAGACCATTAAGTTGACCTCACGTCAGTCTGGAACAGTAAAGCAGGCAGCAGTGATTTTTCGGACTGGCGTTGTCCTCGATCTCATTCATAACGTGAGTGGTCTCATCGTTATTTGACAGGGGGCTATCTCTGCGCGTGACAGTGGTGTAGTTGGACGTACCTGTTAATGGCAAGATACTGCTATTAACATCGTCATTGTCCCTCGGCATGTCACCGAGAGCCGTAATTCCTTCGACGTTAGCGCGAATAGGATGCACACATCGTCGTAGAACTCGTTTCTCACCTCGCCATAGTTTTTTATTTGGGGCGCCAGTACCGACGATTACGTCACGTTTCTCCCCATGGAATAGAGCCCTTATTGTCATGATGGGTTCGTTGCGTCTCTGTGAGATGGAAGACATTTGTCTCTCGATGTAGGTCCTGAGGCCGAAAGTGATTCCAGCCTATCACTACTTTTCCTCTGGACGTTTAGTAGAAGAGACCATATCCCGTATTTACTTCGTTCTGAAAAACCAGGCCTCGCCAAAAGCCGCAATGTCCACAATGTATCGATCCAGTTTGCAAGTGACCAGGGCTCTCCTCCTATCCATTGGGTTACCCATAGAATCGTCTACAAGTAACTAGCTTTCCTGATATTCGGATCGAGAAAACAAACCCTTGTTACTCGGAGAAGGGGATGGGAGCGCATTTTGGCTGTTTGTTCTGTTTTGACCGCTTTTATGGCCTCCTGCGGTCACGGTCATTGCATGGATGAAGGGAATCGGCGCTTTTGATGGCATTGTTTGGCCTCTTCGTCACAAGGTATAGGCAGTCTGTTGTTTATTAGGGCTTTTGCGACACTCTCGAGGATTGCCGAATTCCATTATGGCTCATGTATAATAGAGTGGGAGAATGACCCGACTTGCATTAGGAGTGGTGGGATAATTGTAATTTACGGGATGTCGACTTACACACATGGAGCACCATAATTCAATTTAGCCCGTCAGTCGAGTGTGTTCACTGTGGAGAGCATAGCTTCGTAGAGTCGCTGAGGAGGTCTGGGTGCCAAGTTAACTTTGATGTACAAGTATTCTCCATGTCCAGCGATGCGTTTGCTGAGAGCGTAAATCAGCAAACATCCATTTGTCTCTCAGATTTATCAACGAACCTGGAATAACTGCATCGGCGTAACGTGGGTACCGCCACATGATACCTGCCACAAGCTGATGCTTCGGCCGTCGCAAGCAAGGAGGACCACTGCCATCCCTGGAACTGTGCGCAACCGTGGCGTGTATGTGTTCTGACCTCACGCTCGTGACCCTGGACCTTTGCTTGCCACGCGCGTGTGGCGTGTTGTCTAACTTTCAGTATGGGCAGCATACATACGTCTATGCCAATTCGTCTCATAATTTCCTCACTATGAACTGTCGAATTCTTTTTACAGCTAAACGACGCACTGAGCTAATAATCGTGGCTCGGAAGAATGCCAACTGGCGGATTTAGTCAAGGAAGGGTGCCCATTTCCGTATCCTAACCCTTACTTTGACCAAACCCTAACTCTGATACTAATACTAACCTTAACTCTAATCTTAATCCCCTGAAGCTTAGCGCAAGGATACCCGTATTACGGACGGTACCCATTCCCATGTACTCCCGTAACCACATTCTGCGTGCCGCATGCGGACATCGGTTCTATCGTTTCGTTCACGCGCACTTCCATTCGTTTCTTTCATGTTTTACCATTAAAAAAAGGTGAAAGCTTGATGAGAGTTAAATGCGGTGCCGCTACTACGTGTCGAGCTCCTGCGCGAGTCATCATCGCGATCTCGGGGAAGTTGTGGTCTTCGTTGCTTGCGATGAGTGAACTAGCTGTAATGAAATAAACATATCATTTTTTCACCGTTACGACCACAGAACGTTGCCAGAGGTACTTAGGTAAGTGGGAGGAAATCTGTTCTATCCACAGGCCACTTTTTTATTCTTCCAATCACCGGGGGTAGTAGCCCTCTAACCTCCCTTTCGTCTTTTGCATGTAGTTACCCAACGCGTCGAAACTCCCTGCTACTCCTCCGAAGCACCGTCCTGTGCTCGTCGCGGGGACGCCATGTGATCCTCCACCAACCCCTAACCGATCGCGGGAAGTACCTGGCCTGGTTGGTGTTATCAAGGTGACTATTAGTACCGTAGTGTCACTGCACGGCCTATTGATTATTGGTAAACCCTGTCTTTCGTCACATGTGTTCACTAGTCGGGGTTCAATGGACAATTATTTACCAATATCCTAATAGTTGTCACATTGGCTCACTCACCAGCGACCCTGTGGATTTCAGTCTGTTATTTTGCATATCTCACAACCTGCAAGTCAGGTCTATGCAAATGGAGCCACATTGGGTCGTCACCGCCCCCTCAGGACAATGTTATCTCTTATCGCCAATGACTGTTAAACTTCCTTGAGCGTGGATTCATGAGCTCGCGAAATGGGCAGCGCCGTTAAGTCCGGCATGTTGTGCACGCATGTGGTACGTTGAAGGGGATGGGCGGACTTTCTAGTAAGTCACAGTGCCTGGCATCATCTCCAATCGCCTTCACCCCGTATTTCATGGTGAGGGAGGCAAGTGGGAGGACCGATCCTGTGCCGCATGTTCTACTAAAAATAAGGCTGCTGTACATTTGAGCCATTTCCCTGCTTTAACTGTCTTGACTGGGTCACCAACTAGAAGATTCGCTAGGCCCTGGGGAATGGGAGCCTTATTGCAGGTAACTCCCGCCTTAGTGAGGATGAACCTTCTCATCCTACTACTTGATTATGATCTGTAGTAATGCACGCTGATGCGAGTCTTTACTTCCTAGCAGCATTAAATGGTATTTCATTGTTTAAGAAGTGAAATTGGTTTTCGTGGACCCTATTTTCATACAGGAACGGTGATCGTCTTCAACACAAACACCATCCACCGTTCAAGGCACGTTTTTTTCCTTGGAGTGTACTAGGCAGGTGTCTGTAGTAGGTAGTCTCGTGATTCCTACTTACCTTTTTATAAATCGGTGTCGACGCGGATGCATCTCTCCAAAATGCGTCCATGATTGGAATTTTTGTCCTATAGACTGGTCCTTTATCTTTTAGGACATGCTGATGTGACCTATACTACGTTACTGTGGACCTTTATATGATCTTTTTCATCTTCTCTTCTTCCGCCACAGCAAGCCTGGGTCATTGTGGAAAAGCCGGATACTGAAACAAGGCTACCTGTTGAGGTAACTGTTCCTGCTCGCGTGGTGTGCGATCATTGTTCCACGTTTTGACGTAAATGGCATGACCTTTTGTTTTTGTAGCAGGGCGAAGTTCTTCGATGGATCAATTTTGATGATGACGTGCTCAGCGGCGCTACTGAGTTGACGGATGACACATTCTTAGAATGTGAGAGATGGAGCGGCGAGAGTGTAGTCCTACCTTCTGAGTGTGTCAGCGTTCTTCGCGACAAACTTGAAGTTGCTAAGTACTTGACCAAGCGTCCGCGAGCCGAAATGCTAGAGGACTACATTTCGGAATCGCCAGTGGAACTGCATCTTAAGGTACTCTTGTTTTAGGAATTTTTGTACTTTCTGTGATTTCAAACTTCCAAATGCACGATTTAGTCGTCGGATGTAAAATCAACTCAATTTAGTGAGCATTATAGACACACAAGTTTTCGTAGTTCTCTCACTCCAGATTAACATGACTACCTAGATGATGCTTTTCCTCCTTTTTAACCAGAGAATGTGCCAGTTATAACATCTGGTTGGTAGCCGGGACCTCATATCACGGTCTCTGCTGTAACCTTTTTCCTACGCTGTTCGCATTGGCGTTTGTCGTTGTTTCCCACTTTACCATTCAGGATTCCTTTTCAGCTAAAGGCCAGCCTCTCAATCGAACTTTGATATTCACTATCCCCACGAAAACATAGCACAATATTAGCAACATACTCAATACCTTGCGGAATTTTCGCACCAATCGACAAGGACCGTCTTTCCTGAAGAATTTTCTGGGTGCATGGATACTTGAGCAATATCCGTCTCATCATAACCGTCACCACGCACTAGTTTTCCACCGGACCGAAAGGAGTTTTATTTTGCGTAGTCAAGTTCATAAGAAGTGCTGTGGAATTCACACTAAGGAGCCACAGCAGTTTGATCCTCTGCTAGCGCTATGTATTTCAGCATTCCACGCACATTCCGGGCGCGAATTTAAGGACTCTGTCATTTTTTGAATATGCCCTTACTAGGTTGCAGTAGGAGCAGACTGAGTTGAATGTTTCCCGTGTCCGTACCCCCGTGTAGTTGACGTGCGAGTGAGATTCGCCACAGCGGCCAACTAAACTGTTTTTTTATCCACACCGACCGCAGTACTACCACTTTCCAGATCCATATTTTTCGTACACTACATTTTATCCGTGATATTATGCCAGCTGAGGCGTTTTGGCGAAGGGCTTTAAGGTAAATTATGCGAGTATCGGACACCAAGACTGTTTTTGCCGTTAGATAGGAAACAACTTCTGCATGCGTCTGAAACCTAGTCGGATGTTGGACGGGTGGAACAGATCTAGTCTTGAAGTTGTGGTAGACAGCGAAGCGAGGCATCTGATGGACAAGTGCAGCGCACGTGAACTAGGTTTCGCAAGTTTTCTGCTCAGTGTGTCATCTTTCGCGCCCTTCTTTGGAGGCACAGACACCGCAGGGATGGGTGGGCGCATTTAGTGCTCCCCTTCATTTACCCCGTTTCGTGAGTCGGCATCATATAGCTTTTCATCCTGGTGTGTTAGAAACGATGTTCGTCGCCGAGGAGTACAAGCTGCTGTACTATATGGGAGGATGACCACAGACCAATGCGAGCAGTTAATACGCATTGCAATGAGGGAATTAACAAAAGGATTGGATATTAACCCCGTCCCAGCTTTGTCGCTTCTCTTTGGTCTCTTACAGACCATTGACTGCGTAGTTGGCAGTTTTGTTTCCGGCGACGGTTCGCCGTGCCTACCGATCAGGTGCAATAGTTTCGTTGCTCACACGACCTACCTATCTTCAACATAACTTATATCCATGAACGATGATTAATGCTTGATCTAATGTTTTTATTCCGCTTGTGTACTTCCTTTTTAGGCTGGTGATATCGTCTACCTCCACAGAAAAATGGCTGACAATTGTTTCTATGCGTCCAACAAGTTTGGTAAAAAATGTACTATTCCAGCAAACACGTTGCATATTTTGGCGCCCTGTGAACTTGGAGGGCAACCATAAAGGTCTCTTTCGTCGTTTTTGCTCTAGACTCTGGTCTTTCAATGTTCTCTCTGCCACCCGTTAATACAAATAAATAGATGAGTCTTTGCTCCGGTTACGTTGCTTTTGTTTGAACGGGCTGCCGAATACTGATGACGGTGAGTGACCGCTGCGCCCGCTTTCGTCAATAAAGAATTCCCCAAGTGCAAGCCTTCGGTCATGCATGAGGTCATTCTGATCGCTACAGCCTCACTGCTTCCACAAAGAAACCCACAGAAGATTTCGTGGGCCTTATGAAGGACCTGAAAGTGCGAAACACGAGTCGTTAGCTAAATTTGGGGAGTCAAGTTGGCAACTTGAGTTCCTAAACGTAGCATGGGAATATTCGCTTAAGGTTTGGGGTCTGTTCGCCCGTGTTGAACCGCGTCTATGACAGTGGACGTGATGCGCCACTGGCCAAGGCGGTGTGTGCTGCCTGCAGCTAGTTGTGCCACCACCTTTTCATCTGAAAGACGAGGCCTCAGCAACAGCACCACAGAGGTCCTAGATGTAAGCGGACACCAGGTCTTATTAGAGGAAGCTAGCCGCCAATTAGATTTTAGCGATTAACTGGGTCCTCGTCTGGAGCAAATTCAGGCTCCAGACGCGAACGCCGCTTCTGAGGCGCATTGGGGTAGACGGTGGGGCGTCACTCACTGCTTTGCTCTGGAGGTCCTTGTTCGCACGCCTCATTAACGTCAGAACTCGTTTGGAGATAGAAACAAGTAAACCTCCAACCTGGTACCTGAGGTTGGTGGGCGGCACACGACCTACGTCAACCACAGAACTGGGACTGGAAAGCGACTTTCTCCCGGTGTCGACGTCCGGTTCAGCAGCGGCTAGGGAAGATGCGAAACGTTTGTATAACTCACTGGGTTGGAGCAATACAAAGGTATGCATGCCGCAAAGAGTTGGAGGATCCTCGTCCGTGAAGGCGGTTTGTGGTCCTCGGACTACGAAGTTTACGCCGCCGTTCATTTCCGATAGAAAATCTTAGCTGAGAAATCGGAAGACCCCTGATCGCTGGGCTGAGGCCTTTGGAGGTATTCACAGTCGACTGTCCACAATATCCGATAAAGCCATTAACAGACTCAGAAGTAGATCGATGCCGGCCTCTATCGTTTGGTCCCGCTGCAGGAGACAAAGCTGCGCACCAGATGTCCAATGGCCAGGCATCTGGCGATGCGTCGTTTCCATCTAAGCTTTACAAGTGTGGCGGCCCTCAGCTTTATTGACAGACCTAATTCGGAGTGGAGTGCAGTTAGGCAGTGTGGGCTGCAAGACAACCATCGTCCACCTATCGGCTTTGGAGATCCGGTCGAAATTCGGATACACAGAGCAATTTAATCAGATGGTTGAACAACAAGATGGGATGCTGAGTTGCATAATGGACAATGCGACGGTCTCGAAAGAATTTGCAATGGAATTAAGGATGAAGCGATGCTGGGTACCTGCACCCACTCTTCTCCGCCTCCTTCACTCCGTGGTACGTATATAACAGACGCCTACCAGTGAAGAGCTACCAGACATTGGACCGGAATAAACTAAACTGTTAATCTTCAGAAGCATTTATGCTACCGCGCCAGCCTGCTTTCCAACGTTAAGGGGCCCCTTTGCGCGGATGATTGCCGGCGAATCAGCAGTACGGATGGGTACACATAGATGATAATTTGCACCTACGCTACCCCAAAAGCATTAACAGATTGACCTTCAATACGGAAGAGAGTGAGATCGGATATCAACACGCCTAGAATTACCATAAATGAAACTCAGCGGGCAGCAATTAAGAAATTCGCCTACATGGAAATTACGGTCTCATGAAACGTCATAATTCAATATAGTTAAGCGAGATGGACAGAGTCTTGGGAAATCCTATTTACAGATATAAGGATGAAAACGTGCACATATGTACGCAACAGTTATATCAATCATTGTTATCGAGCTAATGTTTGATCACTAGGCATAAATTTATCATGTATTTCTTGTAAGTCCCAGCGTTTTTCCCAAGATAAAGAAGTTCGTCAAATAGTCATACCGTTTCTGTGAGACAGTCGGCTAGCCACTTCGGTTAATATCCATCCAAGCCGATTTGGTGTAAGTTAAATGAAAATCGTCTGTATGGAATACTGGCAACAGCCTTTCTGAGGTAGGTGCAAACCGCATTTACTGATAAACCCATTTTGAATGATTTCGTCCAGCTCTCCGTGAATATGAGAAGGCTAGTATGACAAGACCGACTCCTTGTAAATCCATTCTGACGGAGACTGAGCAAGTTGTTTGCTTCATGATACCCCCTTAACTCCGTTTTTTAATTTTTTCCTCCATCAGTTTGCAACAAATGTTTGTGATACTCACTGGTCTGAAACCTTTTGGGCTGTTCTTTCGCATCTCTTGCATCCGGACCAGGCGACTTAGTCGCCTGTAGTTGTCTCAAAGTTTGCCCTACTTTGTCTGTTGTGAACGCAATCATGTTAATTGTGTTGCCTGATTTGACAAGTGGGGGTAAACTCTGTCATCAGAAGCCGACTACTCGGTATACACGAACGTAAAGAATTCGGATAACAGGTTTGCCTTTTCTGAATTATCGCACAACTTACTGTCTCAGTTGCGTTCGCCTTATTCACATATCCAAAGAACTTTTTGCAATTTCGTGGTATGTTTTGGAGTATTTTGACTCGAATCTTGCGCGTCTACCCCACGGCTCATTCCGTAATATACATCTCTATTTTTAACATCTGGAAAATGCCCTATTTTTGATATCTCGCGTACTTTGTTCAAAGTTTACTTTCCAGTCTATGGAATTTATTGATTTCTAAAGTTAACAAATCTGGACGAAATGTACCCGT